AGTTCACCACGGGTCGTGCTTCATTCCATACTTGGAGGGTGAGAATCGGCGTTTCAAGTAGATCAATGAGGGTTAGTAACCAGTTCAAAAGCCGTACGTTGGGCTTTTTGGCCTTTAATTTTGTAGCTTTGGACTTCGAGTACGGACATAAACTTTAAAGCCCTAGACCCTAAACCCCCAAAGCCTAAATCCTACTGTATTTAGAGAGCTCAAGACCGGATTGCTGTCAAGGAAACTGATTTAAGCTACTATATTTGGGAAACCTTATTATTATACATATACATATATACCCCGTATGGTAACTTGCCTTAAGTTCCGTAAGAGCAACCCAGAAGACAGAGCTTAGGAGCGGCGGGGTCCCGCCATTGTCAGACTCCAGAGCCTCTGCGGTCCCCTGCAGGGCTTCTGTGGCCCCTACATCCAAGGCTGGGGGATCTAGGGTTTGGGGTAGGGTTTAGGGTTTTAGGGTTTAGGAGGGTGTCCCCATCCCAATCCCACTAAGGGGTTTCCAATAAAAGTTTAGGGTTTAGGGTTTAGGGCATGGGGATAATGGAATAGAAAATGGAAATTACTAGTTCGGGTTTTCCCCAAAAACAGGGTGTACCTGAGCGGGGGTCCCCAGAATAAGGATTATAGCTGTTGGGGATTTTAAATGAAGTTATCATAGTTGGTACATATATATACATCTATAGTAAATAGTAGGGTTGCCCCATTAAAGTAACTAAGAGAAGTTCCTTAACAGCAACCTAGTCCAGGGTTTGGGGTTTCCGGTTTAGGGTTTGGGTTCAGGCCTGCTGGTTTAGGGCTGGGGCGCATGACTTCTACCTGGGAGCCCAAACACTAAGAAATATAGGGATGATGGAAAAGAAAAAGGAAAATACTATATAGTAGTTTGGGGTTATCACTTCTATCGCTTCCGAGGCAGGCCCCCCCCCCGCTCGAAAAAAAATAAATGCTGTTCGAGAGCGTCTGTGTTGTTTCTGGCTGTTGGGGTTTCAAGGTAGCTTGTGGTTTGCTTCATGGAAAGAGCTGGTTTGCCGGGATGCTCCTTGGTGATCTCTGTAAACGAGCATTCCACAAGGACACAGGTATCACAGTGCTCTTCTTGGGATTGGGGGTGTGGAGTTCAGGGTAGTCTTAGAATAGAAAACACTCTCACGCCCACAGAAGCAGCATGCAAAATTTCAGAAGGGCGTCACGAGGTAAGAAAATACTCTAGACAAAACCTGGTGCTGACCTATACTCCTTAATAGCTGCTGTGGCAAATTACATTGCATAGCATGCTTAATCCTAAGAGCCCATAATCTCAAGAAATCATAGCGGCCTCGCCTCACCTCACCCGGAATAAGTCATTTACAGGCATCATGTCCCGTAAAGAGCTTCATTGTATTTTGGTGAAGAAGTCTAACTTGGCCAGCAAAATCCCAGCACCGAGGCAGAGGATTCTTGGGCGCAGCGCACGATTCCCATGCGGCAGCTGGTTGCGCAGATGGATGTCCAGGAAGGGCCTGGGACTGCTGATACTTGAGCCAGGTCGCTGTTGAAAACGGCTTTTTAACTTCTAGTGCGCTAGGACCCAACAAAGAGGTAAAACCATCATGTTAAATAGTAGCTCGGAAAGGGCAGGGAATATCCTGCGTGAGCCTAAGCACCGCAGTTCTTGGCAAAAGTTGAAGTTTCATGTCATAGGGTCATGTAACATCAATAAGTTTAGTTGGGGAGATTTCCATGTTGTTGCCGGGAGTTCTACGACTAGGACCATGGTATTAGGGGGGATACGACAAGGAGGGGCGCCAGTTTTGGAAATAAGCTCTCGATAGTGTCCTCCGTCACTCCTCATAGAACTATAGCATAAACTAGCCCAAAGTCCTATCGCAACAGCGTAAGCCCCAAGCTATACAATCCTTAAAAACCCCTATGTAACCTAGTTTGCAGGTTTTTCAATTTTCTACTCGATCTAAGTCTCGGTTACTTGTAATTATTCAGACCCACATTGTACCTTGAGGGGTTGGAATTTAGGCTTCAGTGCTTCTAGTTGAAGTGCATGAAGCGTCTGTTAATACGAGGGCTTGGGTAACCCCACCTGGCCGTATTGATGCTGGGTCCCTATTTAGGGTGTTGAAATCCTCGGGGGATCTAGGAAAACATTCAGGTCACAACAAGGGTAACCGATGGTCCCTTTTGACGTCTTTTACGGAACTCAGCCGAGACGAGATTTTTGTTATACCTGGCTAAGAAGGTTTGATTGGCTGCTAGCCCTCTTCGAGTTTGAGGTCTCTCAGGGATTGGCTCTTGATGGGGACCATGACCTTCCAGTGGTGATAAGTAATCAGGCCTCAGCCTGGGAGTATGTAGTGAGAGCTTCTTGAAACTCGTCTTCCTTTCAAGGACTCTACAATCCTTTTAGGGCCCGTTCGGATCATGCATGTAATTCTTGGGGAGCGCGCTTATCTGAAGAGCACGGGAGGTCAAGAAGCTGGATTCCGTGAAGCACGAGAACATTGACTTGCAGCTGGAGGCACGTGGTACCCTTCGACAGACTTACACGGAACCGCCAAAAGGTCCTTCAAAGACCACAGTAGAAAGGTGATAAAGGGGTTCCAAGTCGCTCTGGGGCAAAGATACCTTCTGGAGTTGAATGCATGGCATTGATTAGCTAGGCGCTGATTAGCCAGTTCCTCACACTCCTAGGAGAGTCAAAACCAGTGACTACCCCCAACAGCCCGATTTGTTCCCTGACCATCCTATATCCACCAGAATCTCTCGAAAAGTCATATCCTGCAGCCAAAAACCCCTCGTCTTTTTTCCCCTGGGTTACCACTTGTGATGCTGAAATTCGTAACACTAAATCGATGTGCGCTCGTGACTTCTAGGGCTAGGGTATAGGCTTCATCGTTCAGGGTTGGGGTTACAAAAGCAATGTGACAGTTCCGAGCTTCATGTGTAGCTGTAAGTTGAGTTTAGCAGAGGGTAGCCATGACGATGATCCTTTCAGGTTATTCAGAACATATTCAGATATCAACATATTTGGTGCTACTGGAGAGGCTTAACAATTGCCATTGTTATGGTCCTAGATTCCTTCTACAAGAATATCGTATAGGGCATAGGGTATTTCAAACAGACCTCAAAATTGTATTGGTAATTATATTGCCTTCTACATTGCCCATAAGCGTTTTAAAGAGGTGCAGACGATCCGAAAGCGGAAGAGGCAACTCGCCCACATCTTTGAGCGGCTGAAGCACCAGAATCTGGCTGCACACCGTATAGGATTTGGGTTTGAGATCTAAGGTTCAGGGCTTGGGATTTAGGGTTCGAGGCTGTAGGATTTAGAATTGATGGTTGGGGGTTTCAAGGTGCGTTTCGGGTATATACAGAGAAGCTTACACTTCAAGAACTATACCCTAACGGAACGGTTGAGACAGACGGCGAAGGTGATGATGTGTCAGAATCCAGTTGCAGATTCGGGCTTCTGAGGGCTTGACATTATTCACCACATGCTGGGCTCCCTCAGATTGCATTCCTTGGGTCTCTGTATTGATCTTCATAATCCACCCCTTCTTCATTTTAGCCCCTTTTACCTCAAACCCTAAGCCCCCTTTTGCAGTTACCATTTTCTTTTCCATTACGCCTATATAACCCCTATAAAGACCCCGAACCCAAAAGCAACAACCATGGCCCTGAGCGGAGCCGAGGATTCGGGGACGCTCGGAGCAGATCCGGGACTTCGTGGAGGACTGCTTGGGGTTTAGGGTGGAGGTTGGGTTTTTGTAGGTTTTGTATGACTCAGGGTTCAGCCTTGGGGATTTAGGGTTTAGGGAGGTTGGGGATAAGGTTGGGGATAAGGGACTATCAAGAGTTTTGGGCTGTAGGATTGTGGGATTTAGGGGCTTAGGGCTCAGGATGTGGGACTTCTCAGAGCCCAATCACACCGGGGCATCTAGCGTCTAGCTCCCTTCGAAGTAAGGGTATATACAATCAAGGGGCTTAAGGAGTTCCGGAAGTAGGGTTTAGTGCAGGGGGTTGTGGCTTTGGGGTTTAGGGCTCAGGGATTGAGAGTCTCGGAGGGTCGTGCTTGATTGTTGGATCTAACGAGAAGGGCAAACTTGAAGTTTTATGGGTAGTTTTACGTAGCCTTTGCTGGGGTCGTTCGTTGGAGCCGATCCTAGCCAACGCTTCCTTTCAGTTGCCATACTGACGACGCAAGCTACTTGCCGAGGAATGCTTAACTACTCTGTTGGAGGGCCTCCAAACCCGAAACTCTCAGCGTGGCTGAAAAATCAGAGTAGGCTCCGCAGACACCGAACCATTACCGTGCAATCTGTTTTAAGTCTGTGTTAGAGTTACGGACCGAGTTGGTGCAGCTGTCTTACGGAAAGCGATGTTAGGTTCGGGAGCTTGCATCGGGGTGCATTCTGAAAACCCTATACACAAGATGCGCACATGTTTCACAAATTCTCCTTAAATCTTAAATCTGAATCCTAGACGCTAGAACCTTGATCCTGATCCTGATCCTAGACCTTCAGCTCTGAATCCTCAACTCCAAGCCCTAGAATTATACCATATTCCTATTAGCGATGTTATTGCTGTTGCTGTTGCTATCACCGATGGTAGTACTATGATAATTACCTTTCTTTATACTATTACTTCTTCTCTTACTATTGTTGTTACTCTTACTCTTGCTCTTGCCAACACTTGTTGGTTGCCAGGAGGCAGCTCAAAGCAAAGCTGTATCCAGCGAAGCAGAGCATCTATTCTTAGGTTTGGAAATAGTGTTTGGGGTCTGGGCGTAGGGTTTTGGGCTCCAGGGGTTTAAGGATTGGCGATAAGAGCTCGGAGTCCTATTGGTTTCCTACCTGAGCCCTGAGTTCTAGGAATGCGTACTTGGGCTTGAAATGTTCAATAGGAGCATCTAACAGTTTATGGTGTGGAGTGGTGAGAGCCAGATCTACTTCGGCAAGTACCACTTGAGATGCTCAGATTTGAGGGAATGTGCAGCTGAGGCATCGGGTAGAAGTCATGCAGAGGCAGAGGGACGACGAGCGGCGGCAGTTCACAGAGGAGGTCTTGCGCATTAGGAAGGACCGCTCGGGCTTCGGGCTTAGAGTATGGGCTGAGGGATGAGAAGGATTGCGGCGGGAAATCAAGCAATGACCACATGCAGGATCCGTTCACTCACCCTTTGCCTAGAAAGGGCTCAGAGCTGTGAAGCTTTATTTGCCGAAGCTACGCTTGAAGTACAGAATGCCGGTAGAAACTTGGCATGGATGCAGCTTTGTGTGGATGGAGATGTGTGGGGCTTACGTATCCAACTCCCAAGCTTCAAGCTTCCTGGCCTCTTGTACCATGAGCTTATCCTGAAAGATAGCCTTTCCCTCTTCATGTACGGAGCGGTAAGGCTACTGGTCCTAGAGACCAAGGATGTAGTCTTTGACATCATCATGTCAAGAAGAAGGACAGCCTGAACCTGAGCACTCTACATAGCCCCTGGATGCCTCCTCTAGGTAAAATGCCGCAACAAAGCCTGCAAAACAATCACGCAGCAGGGGAGCTCCCTCATTAGTTTCCCTACAAAGGGCGACCCCAAGATAGACCCCAAATTATTCCCCACCCTCACAGTGGGG